AGGACATGCGTTAGCTAAGCATGAGCTATTGAGCTCAACGCAGGGGGGTGGGCCTGTGTTTTATTGGAGATCGGAAGGGATCCTCTAACATTTCTCCTGGCTTTACACGCTGTGAAGCTATGAACATGTTTGAGAAGGCGCCTGTTCAGATCGACACCGACTTGTCGTCTCAGGAGCATTGCACCCCTAGTGGACAACAATGCCCCTGCGTTAGCTAAGCATGAGCTATTGAGCTCAACGCAGGGGGGTGGGCCTGTGTTTTATTGGAGATCGGAAGGGATCCTCTAACATTTCTCCTGGCTTTACACGCTGTGAAGCTATGAACATGTTTGAGAAGGCGCCTGTTCAGATCGACACCGACTTGTCGTCTCAGGAGCATTGCACCCCTAGTGGACAACAATGCCCCCTGAAACACTAGAGCGCCTGCTCCATCTACAAGGACCTGACGTGAGCACCCTCGTCTCTCTCCGCTGAATACGAGTGAACTCCCCTCTTCTTCCAGGGGCGTGCTTTGTATCTTAGGGGGAAAACAATGGGCCCTGATGGGTCATCAGTTGCCCACCACTGCCGTCAGGTGAGGTATCCACTTGCTTACCACCTGTGTCGGAAAGACAGCCTTTTTCCTTGGGGACGTGCCCGCCTGCGCCACCTACCCTTAAAGACACGCGTGACCCAGCGAGCTTGAATTTCGAAGACCGGCGTGACCGCGCCAAAAGGCTTGATGAGGCCAATGACAGCCAGGGTTGGCTTCTCCAGCTGCGGGGGGAAGATGTATTTGTACAGGGACGCCTGCTTCTTTTCGACTTGGAGGACCGACTCCTCCAGGAAAGGGAAGGAGAACTTGTACCCCGTGGCAAAGACGATAACGTCGATGGGCTCCTCCGTGGGGCTGTTTTGAAACACGACCGACTTTTCCTTGATCTCCTTTACACTTGGTTTTACCGTGATTTTCCCAGTGATGATACAGCCCGGAAGTTCATCATTGAGTACTGGCTCCCGTATCATGACTCTGCATCAGAACACAGAAAGATGCCTTCAGAACGTACTGAAGCTGAGAGATGGAGGACGACCTCCGACCTGGAAGTCAACAATGTCATCTGACTCTGAACCACGTAAGCGAGGCCCCGTTTCCCACCGACTTCAAACAAGGCTCCAGGGTCTTGAAGTCTTCAGCTAAAGTCAGCCCTCCTGCAAAGTCAGCCCTCCACACATACATCACCGCCTCCTCCCCGGGTTCTGGTCTCTTGGCTTACAGGGCTTTTACGGAGTCACTGTTCTGAGCAGAAATGCACTTCAAAAGCTGCCTGACTCTTTACCGGTTGCTACTCAATGGATGTTGATGGGGCAGACCTAGCTCCTAGCCAGAGGAGTGGAAGATGATCCCTAAAAAGTGTGTGCCGGGGACCGCTAGCACCCGAACTGTGGCCCTGTGCCCCTCCCCCTCAGTATCCCACTTCCATGCTATCGATTCCCCTGCCCTGAGGTCTGGCCCCCACTCGCTCCTTTCTGCCCCTCCCCCACTGCTTGCCCTTATAGCTGGTAAAAAGGGGAGGGGCATAGCTGTGAGCCCCTTCGTGTGTAGGGGCCCCTCAGGGCAGGGCAGGAGAATCTCGTCTTCACAGTGCTCTGAAAACCTAGCTGATCAACATCTGGGACGCTGCCTTCTGGGGTGGATTTACCAATTCCCGTATCCCACCCTGGGCCCATGGGTTTGCATTGCTCCTGCACTGTACTTCCCTCCAGTCTCTAGTCCCGTCACCAAGTACCACGGCATGCAGCAGAAGCCCAGCAGATACCTGTCCTTAGGTATCAGGCCATAGTTTGCATGGTCAAACCACTGGCTTGTCCTGTGAGCAACCAGCCACGTCGTGAGCGGCCCCGGGAGGGAATTGCGGATCACATTCATGAAACGAGTGAGGAAGATCATGTCCCAGGGGTAACCGTTGTCAAACACCCGACTGATCACCCAGGCACCTCGGCCCGTGCTGATCATCACCTAGAAGACAAGAGAGCGGCAAAGCGTTGGAGGGCAAGTGGCTTCCCTTGCATTTATGAAACTAATCCCGTACAAGGACTGTCTCTGATCTGACCCAGCTAGCCAACGGGCAAAGTCTTCAAGGTCTCTCGGAACGGAGTGAGAGAGGGGCGGGGGCAGGAGAAAGACACTTTTGACTCCTCAACCCATCTGCCACTACCTTAGAGACCACAGTGCCATAAAGACACTGCTGGGGCAGGTTAAAATACTGGAGGCTCTAGGATCTGATGGTATGTTTCATTGCGCGTGCGTCTCTGAAAAAGCAATTGAGCCTGTGGATATCACCTCTAGCATCTGGTTTTTAGGGCCTTTCTCCTGACAGGTCACTCTGCCCGGTTTCTAAATGGCTTCCTTGCTACCGGCCGAGGCCCACAGCAAAAAACAAATGTTACCCTCCCTCCCGATTTGGAAGTAGCTGGAAGAACGGCACCTTTTTGGCCACACGACTGGCCTCGACGGCGATATCCACACCCGAGTTCCCCATGCCAATCACAAGGACTCTCTTCCCCTCAAACACATCCGGGTGCTTGTAATGGCGGCTGTGAAAGTATTCGCCTTGAAACACCTTGATGCCTGGGAGGAATTAGGGGCAGGAGTTCACGGACCGCGAGGGATGAAATTCAAGCATTTTCCAATCAATGGCGCATGCAGAAAAATATTACTTAAATAATAGCAAATTATCATTCAGAACCATATCCGCTGGTGTTAATGCAGGTGGGTTTTGTTAGTGAGGATAGAAACCAAATGACTCCAGGGTGCAGCCTGGTGCCATGATACTCTTGGTGCTCATTTTTGGAGAAATGGAGTAACTTATGTAGGTGCCTTTCCAAGAGGGAGGCTCTAACTCAGATACAAGTGGTGGGCTGGATGCAGACACTGTAAGGGAGAAGCGGCGAGGAGTCCTGTGGCACCTTATAGACTAACTGAAGTGTAGGAGCATAAGCTTTCGTGGGCAAAGACCCACTTCGTCAGATGCAAGGGAGAGGTGCTCTGGTCGTATGCAGAAGATCAGACCAGAGGACGACTCTTTTGGCCTTGAAATCCATGAGACGCGATAGACGAGCTCTCCTCCTCCTTCCTGCCCAGCAGACACAGTCCTCCGCAGAGCCAGGGAGTACATAGGGTCGTCTCCTTTCCCCCGTCTCCGCCCATGGAAACCAGAACTAAGAGAGTCCCCGAGGGCCATGGTGGAGATTCGATCACTGGAAGTTTTTACGTCAGGATCGGATATTTCCCTGGGAATTACGTGGGGGAAGTTCTGGCCGGTGTGAGCCAGGAGGTCCATCTAGGTCAGTGGTTCCCAAACTTTTCAGCATCACGTCTCCTTTTTGATTTTTGAGAAACCCTCACGCCCCCTCTCCCAAAAAATAGCAGCAAAGCTTGAGGTGGGATTGACGGGGGTGTGTGTGGCTGGATCGCCTCATGCCCCCCCCTGGAAGTTTTTCACGCCCCCCAGTTTGGGAACCCATGATCTAGGTGATCACAACGGACCCTTCTGGGCCAGGGATCTATGACTAGACACACAGCGCTGGAGTGACTATGCCTGCTTGAGGATTAAACACGGGATTTCAAGACCAAGACATTTTAATCCATGGTCAGCTGTGATTTCGTGATGGGACCCTCGCCCCACTGCAGCCCCCCTAAGCATGTACCACTGGAATCTTGGTTGTCCATTCCTCCCCCTCCAAAGTGAGGGGGGTGGTTGGAAAATGGGAGGTAACGCAGTCAGGGTGTGCAAACTCTGATGGTGACACACAGCAAGACCCGATTCCTGTGGGCGGTCCCGAGAGACGGCTGTATTTAAAATGTCAATCCGGGGAGAAGCCAGGTTAGGAAAACAACCGGCACTCCCCCATGAAGGTACCTTTCCTCCTCGTTCCTGGGAAGCTCTTGGCTGAGAAAGAGTAGGAAAGACCTACAACCTCCATCAGGGGATGATGGGCCAAAAGCGAAAGCTTTGTCTGCCTTCCCCACAGGAGAATTTGGCCCCGTGCTTTTTCTACACCAACACCGCATGTTCCAAATGGTTAGCGCGGCCCGCTTCTCTAGCTAGCCTTCTCAAGAGAGAGACTATTATCCTATTATCCCTTGGACGAGTGCCTATCAATTAGCCAGTTTCCCCCCCCCCCCCCCCCAGCCTCTCTCTTCCCCTCTCCCACCTCCTTTTCCCAGTTTCCCCGAGTTTTGTTAAATAAACAGAGTTTCTATTTTGGCACAGCTGGAAAACAAAAGTTTTTCCCGAATTACACATGTCAACATGATGGCAGTCAACAGATCCAGGAGATTAGAACATGGAAACAAAAATTTCCTCATTTGTAGATTTTTTTTTGTCTCCTTGCCAAACACACAGAAATGCTTAATCATAAACACAAGACATCCTGTACCAGGAAAGGACTCCAGCGGGAGGGAGGGATCCGAGAGATAGCCAATGCAAACCATAACAGCATCAAAGACAGATGACTCCTGCTTCCCATTAGACTCCGTGACAATAGTCCACTGGCCAGTGGCAGAGAAATCGGGGCTTTTCCTTACGCTGATGACTGTGGTCTGAAATGAGGAACCGAACAATTATTGTCCATCCGCGCGAGCGTGGAGTGCAGCAAAGACAAGTAAACCGTCTACGACCACGTACGCTTGAGGAAATCTGCTGGACCTTTCCCAGACAGGGAGGGAGACAGCCCTGGTCTTGGCCTGGGGGAAAATGTATTTCGATTGTGAGCAGGGCTGGTCAAAATTTTGCCACTTTCGCAAAACCTGAATTTTCCAGGAGAAAGTTTCAAGTATTGCAGAAAAATTTTGATTTGGGGAAAATGGAAATGGTGCGGCTGCCCGTCCGGCTTGCTCTTGTCTCTTTCATTGGCCAAAGGTGAAACTGATGAGCTTTCCTGGAAGGGTGCAGAGGCAGAGAACCCAGGCTCTGAATGGCCCCCCACCCAACACACCCACTTCCCTCAGCTGTGGGAGTCAGAGATGCCAGAGCCTGTTCACATGCCATTCCGGCTCCCGGAGCTATTAGGCAGGGAGGGAGGCTCTATGACCAGACCCTTTCCCTCTGGCTCTCAGAGTGGTGGGAGGAGACCAAGTGGCTGCATTCTCTGCCTCTCTGACCCCCCTCCCCACCATGGGTCTTGTTAATGTCAAGTGAAACTGACAAGGTCTGAGGAAACAGCAACATTTTCAGTTCCCAAATGGATTTTTTCTTGGAAACCCTTCCCGCAACAGAACACCAACACACATGGCATTTCTGACATTTTCTCCCAGTTTGGGACTATTTCCCTCCCACAAAACATGGCATTTTCCAAGGGAAAGGATTTCGGTTTTTCAGCCAGCTCCGATTGTAAGTTCCTTGGGGCAAGGACCATCTTTTTGGTCTGTGTTTGTCCAGGGCCTCGCCTAGCCAGGCCCTGGAGCCAAATTTTCAAGGGTATTTAGGCACCAGAGGATGTAGATCACCCTCTAGTGGGGTTTTCAGAAGAGGCGAACTCCTGTTAGCACCACGATGCTCTATAAAAACATCCCGTTCGATGTCTTTTGAGTCTACACTGCTTACCTGAAGAAGTCGCTCCTTCGGCAGGCAGCTCTGGTAGGCTGTTATCCTCCCACGTGGGCGAGCGGCTCTATTTTATAACTCACCTTGAACTGGATGTGCTTCAGAAGACCGAAATGGTTAGCATACATCCGGAGATACTCGAGGACTTGGGAGTTGGACGGAAAGACGGGAAAATCCTCACGGTACGGGAAGTCGGTGAAGGCGGACATCTCCTTGCAGGTGTTGCTGACCACGGATTTGTAGAGGCTGGGTCTTCCCTCTTCCACGTGCTCCTAGCAGCACAGGGGTGCGGGGAAGAGTAGATCTGTCACCCCCTCTTTTCTCCGCAGCGTTCGGTTTCCATTTGCGGGGGACGGGCCACCGATGAGATTAGGCCATGGACTTTGGCCCAGGCTGTTGCGCTCACAACAGAATTAAATAGACCGGGCCAAATTGCAGCTCATCTCTGCCCAAATGTCCGGCAGGGGCAGCAGCAGGACCCTTTCCTCTCCCTTGCGAGCCGGACGGAGGGCAGGCAGGACGTCCACACGGGCATCCCCCAAGGGCCCAGTGGGGCGGGAAGCACTCGACGCCCCAGAGGGATCTCTTCGCTGGCTGGATGTCACTGTCAGAGGCCAGAACCTGCCTCCCTTCCCCGGCTGATAGCACCCAGAAGAGCCGTCCTGCCTTCACCCACCCCCTACCTCCGCCGTCCTACAGCCCTTGCCCCCTGAGCCTTGGCCAGGGATGGAACGTTCCACCAGCATCTGAGAGGGAGGTTTCCCCTTTCTCTGTGGCACGGCGGGTGTGTCTACGCGGCAGTGAGACCCACGGCTGGCCTGCGCCGGCCGACTCACGCTTGTGGGGCTCTGGCTGAGGGGCTGTGCAGACCTTTAGGCTCCAAATGGAGTCTGGGCTCTGGGTTCCCACCGCCCAGACTCCATCTTGAGCACAGAGGTTCTACCCAGCCCCACAGCTGCGGGAAAGTCCCAGAAGATGGCACCAGGGTCAGTTTGGGGGTCTGAACTGCACTCAGCAAACACCCCTTTAGCCTGAGCCTGGGATCCCACGTCAGGGCCAGCCACCGGGGTGTAACTGCAGCGTAGATACACGCGAGGGGAACATCTGAGCATGTGCCACATGATGGAGTCCCTGAGCCGATAGAGGTGGCCATCTGTGACCCCGTCCTTCCCACCTTCCCTTTCCTGTCCCCATGGATCTTCCAGGGGCTGGCTTCCCCAACAAGGAGGCTGCTAGCCAGAGAGCTGGCATCCTGGGACAGTGCCCGAGGGGAGTCTGGCTGCTACTCAAACCCAGAGGGCTGGGGAGTGCACGGGATCCAAAGGTCACATCCAATACAGAGGCTTGGAGACCCCGTGTCTGAATGGGACACTGTCATTCTTTGCACAAGCGAGTTCTGTTTCGGGCTGTTGGGATCCGGATTGACTCCATGTCTCGGGTACCGAACTGTCTCTGGTTACTGGCCTGCACCGCTGCCCCCCCCCCCCCCCCCACTCACCGTGAATCTCCAGAGCCCCCCGATATCGTCGCTTCTCTCGAAACAGGTGGGCTGGAGCCCCTCATCCAGGCAGCACTTGATGGAGGCCAGCCCGCTCACCCCGGCTCCGATCACGGCAACGGTCTTCACCATGGTCTCCGTTATCGGGGGCAGATCATGCAGCCTCGGAATTCAGGGAACGGTCGGTACCACGTCAGCCGGGAGGATCAGCAATGTAGAATCTAAACAGCGAGGACAGCATGACGGAGAACGGGTTTGTGCTGGTGCGCAGCCCCGGCAAGAGCTAGCTGAGCTGTGGCAAAAGCCAGCAGGGAGCTAGTTAAAGAGCCGGCAGGGCCCCGAATTGCGATAGGACAGGACCCGTAAGAAATGTTACGTTACTTTCACTCCATTTGGGACCAGACTCTCAGCTGCCAACCTTCCAAGATTATTCTGGATTAATCTTTAGGTCGTGTCATGAAACCTCCTGGGAGACGTCCAACCAAAACTGGCAACCCTAGCCCAGCCACAGACTAAGGCAAGTCCCTAAGTGATCACTGAAAACCGCAGCGATACGAGTTTTCCTCCAGTGGTAGAGACATGGACCTATTGCAACAAGAACGGGCGCTTTCAAACCTCGCTGTCTTTGTATGCAGGGTAGCGAGCAAACATGTAAAGCCAGACCTGACCACGGTACTGATCTAAGTCTGACCTCCTCCAGAACAGATTTTACCATTTTATCCAGTAACTCCTCTGCGTTGTGTCTGATACCTGGCAGGGCCAGGACCTCTCCTTGGGAAGGACCCAGAGGTGTCGTGTAAAAAATTCAAGTGAGGAAGACTCCCCGGGGGAGTTTGGGAAGATATTCCAGCGTTAATTACCCTCTCTGGTTAAAATGTTGCGACTTATTGCCAGTTCAAATGCAGCTCCCAGCCCCTGGAATGTCTTTCGCCTGTCTCCGGCAAGGAGTTCTCCATGAATAAGGTCAAGTTTAAAGGGGGAAAAACCCCTTTCATGTTTTCAATTTTGGGGGGAAAACCTGAGTTTTTCATGGAAACATTTTGACATTCACAAGGGGCTTTTTGGGAGGAAAAAAAAAAGCATTTCTCAACCAGCTGGGTTGCTTCGGATCCTATTTCCAAGATCAGAATATGAACCTATGCCTCAGGATCACACCCTGTTTGCCTACCCTGGTTTTACTGAGTTAGCATTTTCTCTGCCCAGTAAGTGCACCTCTTTGCATGCATTCATATTGGGTAAGGACTCTCTAACAACATCTGCTGCAAAACAAACGCTTGCATGTCCAATTGGAACCTCCTAGCTTCTATTGCCGCCAGGGATCTGAGGCATGCACGGTCACAGAAGTTTCGCTGCACACAAATTATATATATTTATTATAAAATCTGTTTCCAGCTGGTGGGTTAGTCAACACAAAGTGGCAGCGGGTGATTCGAAAGCAACCCAAATTCCCTGCAGGAACCCAGTCCTTAGCCACTTGGATTAGTTAAACAGCTGTGTCCCTGTGGCGTGGTACCCACGTTAGCATCCGCATACAGGGGTTGATTTCGTTCCCTTACCTCGCGCCCGAGTCTTGTTTGTCGAAGCCACGTCCTTCCCCGAGCGGGTCTGGGCAGCTGTGGAAAGAATCACTCCCTGTAATTCAACTTGGCCACAGCGACAGGTGGGGGGGGGAGGAGTGGGGAGTTCTCGGAGAGTGGAGCCGCCCCCTTTCCTTGGCTGTTTCGTAACCGACCCTTGCAGGCACTCGCAGGAGCAAAGTTCTCGGCTGTGGGTGGCTGTCTGATTGCTTTCCAAAACGAGCCAGCCCAGGGAGGTGTGCAATCCGAGCCACGACGGAGCTCCGGAGACAACCAGGGCTGCTGGTTGCTGTTCCCTGATCCCAGCCAGCGGGGAGTGTGGCAAGCAAGTGATGCTGACTCGCACGCTGGTCCCATGGCTTGTGTGACCCTGAGGAGGCACAGGGCTGGGGGCGAGCTCCTTGCACAGGGCTCTGCTCCCTAGGGCCTGCAGGGGAGAAGCTGGGTGTTGGGTGTGACAGGAGGAGAGACGCTGTCATCTGGAGTCTCCCGGAGTGCAGGCCAGGCCCTGGAGCACATTACAGCCACTTTGAGGGCTGCTCTCACTTATACAGGGCAGCCTACGGCCCTGTAACCGGGGGGGGACCCTCACCAGCCCCCCTTCCGAGATGCTGGTTGCCCTCCCAAATCAAGAGAGACCTGGGGGTCGTGCAACCCCCTTGTCTTTATTCCCCCAAGCGCGTCCCACCCCCAGTGCCCAGCTACACAGTCTGTGCTAGGTTTTCTCTTCGCACAACGGTCAGTCTTCAGCTAGGAGATAGGCAGCCTGGAGGGGCCCCCCCCCCCCCGCGCCCGCTCCGCTCTCTGGGACGTGTACAGAGCTTTTCCAAAAGTCCCCCCTCAGGCTTGCGGGGCCTCGACTGACTGAAGTCCGTCCAGACCTTCTCAAGAAGGAGTGGGTGCCCCCGGGACAGAAGGCCCTGTTGGTTTGCTGGCCCAGCACTGCAGTCAGTGGAAACGGGGAAGCCACAGGCTGTCTTCTAAAAGTCCTGACTCGGCCTCTTCGTTGCCGGAGAATCCAGTTGAAGCGAAGTAGGTGAGCACCCTCGTGTGGGGACACCTCCCCGGAGCGCTTGTTATGTTCTGGGTTCCTTTCCCCCTTGGAACGGCATACAATCCCTGGCCCACGGGCCATGCACCTAAAGCGGGAACATCTCCCGACACCATAGCAGGAAATTGCCATCTCTGGTCCCCCACGGTTCCTGAGGCTACTACACCGGTGAGCGCCCCCATTCCTGGCCCCTTTGAGGGCACCCGACGCCTGCAGCTGCTCATCTTCACCTTCCTCAGGGCCCTGCAGACCGGCGGTTCACGTTGCGATTTACTGTAATCAAGTCTGAGTCTCTCTACCATCCCATTCTCTCGCAGGGGCAAGGTCCGGGTTCACCAGCGACCAGCCAGCTCGCATGATGTAAGGGGTTATTTCATCAGGACAAAAGCACAATGGAGAGCACACAGACTGCAAACAGCCAACAGCTTCCACACAAACCCGTCTGACCAGGTCTCGCTCATCTGCCACATGGACACCGTGGCAGGTGCCCAAGTCCCTCCCACCCTTGTCCCCCTTGGGCACGGTGGCATCTCAGGTCTAGGACAATCCCACTCCTCTGCCAGGCTGCTCCCTTTGTTCCACTCTCAGTTCTTCGATGCCTTTCTTCAAGCCGTTCCGATCTCGTGTCGTTTCTTCTGAAGGGAATAGCGTTCCTTGCAAGCCATGCACATGTGTGGCCCCGCAGGGGAGATTCAAGAGCTGCCCAGCTGATTAGCCAAGCACCCACAGCTAGGATTTTGTTTATGCAGGTGGTGCACATTCGCACATGCCTTGGTGAACATAAAATTATTCCACACACGGATGTAAAAAATCTGCACGTGGATGGAAAAGTGTAGAGGAAGCATTACTGAGCAGTGGGATGCCTGGAATTTATTTAAAAAGATGCCACAATTATGGACTACTGATGGCATTATGGGATGGAAAGATTTGTATGCTGCGAACTTGACCCATATACTCAGAGATCCCTGGGCAGTAGTCCCTTCTAGTGATTTCCCAAAAAGCCTTGTGCCAGCGGCGATACGTGGCGAACTCGCACACCTATTTTTGGTGCCCCACACTTCACAGGAGAACCTATAGTGCTCAGCCAAGTAGCCACATGTGCACACTTTTGAGTGATGCAGAAACTGTGGTGACTAGGCACCAGGATAACTGGCATTGACCACAGTTTGTAGTGCGGACGTGTTCCTACAGAGGAAATCGATTCTTTGTCCACAAAGGGTAGTAGAGAGTCGTGCAGATAGTTCATAAAAATATTGCAGACAATTCCACGCATTTGTCACAGATCTATTGATGGCTAATATGCCTTGAAGATTTTGGTAGCGAATTACTAGAGTCCTGATTCTCAGGCTCCTAATTCCCATTGGTTCACTCTCTCGCTGACCCTTCAATCAGGAAGCAATTCCTTTCCTGCCCAGTACTGTAATCCTCCTTGTTAGTATGTTATCTTCGGCTAAAGGAACTAAAGACAATGAAAGAGCAACACCCACTTCCCAAACTACGCGATCTATTGTCCAGAGAACCTCCGAATCCCAAGATAAGAAACAGAGCATATAAACAGGATGGCTCTCTTGTTTTATTGCAAGCCCTCTCGGATGTGAAGTGCTTTATATGTTTATATAAGCAGAGAATGTATGGACTGGGTCCGCTGTCATGGATTTTTGGGGCTTTTCGCTCTCAATGAGTGCCGCTCTCTGGAAGTTATTTCACTTGTAAAACACAGCGAGAGCTCTCGAAAGACATAAGCAATTAACCAGGGTATAACTTGGAACTACTCAGTGAAGTTGCATGACAAGCTGGGAGGCGACCAATTCCAGCGAATCGCTAATAAGGAAAAATGCCGAGATATGAAAAGTATCGAAGATGTTTGTTACGCACGAGCGTTATTGATCCAAGGTGCTGGGAAACCCGGAGTGCTGCCATGGGCGTGTAACCCACACACCTGCTGGAAGGGATGTACCATCTCATTTAGTGTGTGTCTCGACTACAGGGTTTTTTAGAAAAAAGTGGCCCTGTTTCGAAAAAACTTCCCCTGCATCTAGACAGCTGCTGCGTTCTTTCAAAAGTAAATGGAAAGAACGTGGCAGGTTTTTTTGACCATGGAAAACCTCGTTTTATGAGGAAGAATGCCTTTTTTCAAACATGCTCCTTCGAAAAAAGGTGCTATGTAATGCAAACTGTGCTTTTTCGAAAGAGAGCATCTGGGCTGCCCGGGTGCTCTCGTTCGAAAAATCGGCTTGCTTTTTTGAAATTACTGGTTGTAGTCTAGACGCTCTTTTTCGAAAGAGGCGTTTTCGAAAGTATCTTTCATAAAAACCTCTTTCGAAAGAGGTTTGCAATCTAGACGTAGCCTTAGTGGCATGGAGACCCCTAAAAGAATAATGGGTTTGCTCTGGCCTTTTGCTCGTGCAGTAGCAACTCCTGCACTAAGAGGTCCCAGGTTCGATTCTACCTGTTGGTGTTACATGCGCAAGTAGGCAATAGAAATAAGAGGATTGTTCTCCTCCACTGGACCCCCCCCCCACAGGATATATAAACAGCGGTCTCTGTGTAACAATATGGTTTTTCTGTAACCACGATGGAAGGCCTGAAGCCATGTTGACAGCCAAAGCCACCTTCTGCAGCCAGACTGAAGAGCAGCAGCCATTAGCTGTAAGGTCTAGAGCCACATACTCACATTCCATCTAAATTGTATTCAAATAGTGTCACACCAGGTTCTGAGAAGGGGATTGTGTCCGGATAGCTCCCCCACTGCCACCAGATAAAGAAACAGATCTCAAGATGGGTAAAGAAAACTGAAGGAACACCATTCTGTCTGGCCAGAACCTGAGGTCACGAGATTGTGGAATCCTCATTCTATGATCATTGTCATTACGCTTTCCTATTGTTTGACTGTGTGATCTCTGTCTGGTTTGTAACTGTTTCTGTCTGTTGTATAATTAATTTTGCTAGGTGTAAATCAATTAAGGTGGTGGGCTATGATTGGTTAGGTCATTTTGTTATGATTGGTTAGTAAAATAATTGGTTAAGGCAGTGGTTCTTAACCTTACTGGAGCCTTCACCCCTTTGGTTCTCAATATATGTTCTTGCACCCTGTCAGGGGGTACGCCCCTGACGGGGTGTTGCAGCCCCCTTCTACTGGCCTGGGTCTTGGTCCGGGCCCCTCTCTCTGGGCCTATACAATACCCAAAGTCCCAAAAGTCCAGGCCCCTCTATTAGGGTATATACGGTACCCAAAGTCCCAACACAAAAGTCCAGATCCCTCTATCAGGGTATGCACAGTACCCAAAGTCCCAACACAAAAGTCTAGGTCCCTCTATCAGGGTATGCACGGTACCCAACGTCCCAAAAGTCCAGGTCCCTCTATTAGGGTATATATGGCACCCAAAGTCCCAACACAAAAGTCCAGGTCCCTCTATCAGGGTATCTACGGTACTAGAGGCCTAGCTGGGTACCTGGCCCGGGGTTTAATTATCCAGGGCAGGGGGAATGGGTGGTAGAGGACCCGGGCCCCCCCCTCCACCGGGTCCCAGCCCAGGGCCCTTTAGGCGGGGCCTATGGCTCCTGCCGGCTCGGCAGGGGATCCGGCCGATACACGCCGAGCCGAACTTTGTATCCTTTGCCCTGGGCTGCTCCCTCCCGCACCCCGGCTCCCCCGGGGCCCGTTCCCCTCCAAGGCCGTACCTGCCGGGGTTGCGGGCGCGCTCCTGCCTCCCTGGGTTGGCGGCTGCTTTCTCGGCATCAGGGTCAGGCACCGGCAGCGACTCTGGTCCCAGCTGCTGCAGAATCACCGGCCCGGCCTGGTCTCCTCTCTCACCCTGCGGTCTCCTCTCCTCGACTGCCGGGCTCCCTCTGCTTTTATCCCCGGCCTCTGCTGGGAGCATGCCCAGCAGGGTCGGAGGGGCGGGGCTTTCTCCGCCAGCTGGGCCTGGGCTACCCCCTGTCCGTCAGTGCGCGGCCTGTCCGTCCCGTCACACACCCCTTATTAAAAATCCTTGAAGTAGGTCAGTTCTTTAAACCTAAGATACAGCATAAAAATCTGACATGTCTCGCACCCCTAGAAAGGGCATCTCGCACCCCGAGGGGGTGCGTACACCCCAGGTTAAGAACCACTGGGTGAAGGTCTAGCTAAGCAGGACTCAGCTTTCATTATGTAAACTGGGGTCCAGGAAGGAGACCGGGAAGAAGATTGGAAGTAACAGAAGCAGAAGGAAAGGAGCAAAAGGCTGGAAGAAGAACAAAGGGAGACAAGGAACACCAAGAAGGGGGACGACCTGGAAGAAGAACTCACCTCCGAGCGACAGCCTAAGGTAAGAGCGGCCAGGACTCTCCAGCACAACCGTGATGTGCAGCAGCTAAGATCCAGAGAGACTGATATTGTCTGTCCAACCGGGGAAGTCGCCTGTACCAGGATTGGTGAGCTTGACGCTGTGTGCTTAGCATGTGCATTCTGCTTGCTCGGGGATTGTCAATCAATAGAGGATCAGGATATTACCGTGTGAGGCTCTTTCAATGGCTAAAGATCCTGCCAACCCGCGGGAAGTTACACCCTGAGCCCTAGGAATTGGGTGAGGGGGTGTGTAAATTTACAGGGTTGCATGTTGAGCCCTAGGAACTGGGTAAAGCCGTGGTCACCAACGAGTAGATCAGGAACTACCGGTAGATCTTGTAGCCTCTGGCAGGTGATCCGGACTGGTTTGGCCAGGAAGCTCTCAAGAACTGGCACTTCAGTTGCTCCTCCACCCACTGTCATGCTGCTCCTGCCCTCTGCCTTGGAGCTGCCGCCCTGGGAGCCTCCTGCTTGCTGTGCAGAGTGTGGGAGAGAGAAGAGGGGGCGCTGATGTCAGGGTGTCCCTCCTCCCCTACATCTATTCTGAGACTCTACACAGAGAGAAGAGGCTGGAGGGAGCTTGGCAGTGCAAATCTCTGTCACTTTCACACACTGTGTGTGTGTCTGTCACTCTCACAAACACACACTGTCCTTCACTCATCTCCTGACCCAACACATACGTGGGGGGTTGTTGTTACTTCTCTTACTGCTTGCAAAGTGGGTGGTTTTTGTTTTTTGACTGTCCCTGCCCTGAACCTCCTCCTCCATCCAACCTCCTACCCCAACGTGAGTCCCCCTGCACCCAAACTCCTTCCCAGAGCTTTGCACCCTGAAATCCCTCCTGGACCCCAATCCCCCACCCTGGGCTAAGCCTGGAACCCCTCCCACACGCCAAAGCCTTGGCCCAAGACCAGAGCCTGCACCCCAACCCCTTACTCCAGCCCGGTGAAAGTGAGTGAGGATGGGAGAGGAAGGGGGATGGAGTGAGCAGGGGGAGGCCTCGGAGAAGGGGTGGAGCAGAGTCAGGGCGGAAGTGGGGCAAGGATATTTGGGTTTGAGGCAGATCTTAAGTTGCACTTAAACTGAAAAAGTGATCCTGTGTTTAAAAAGGCTGGAGACCCCTGCCCTACAGTGTGGAAGGGATAGAGAAATCTGTGCCGGTAGCATCTATGGTGGGGGTCAGAGTAAGCTGAGCCCACATGGACAGTCTCTTGCCGCCTCCAGAGCCATGGACTTGGAAGACTTTGCTGAAGCCACAAAAGAGGGTATCGCCAGGAGGGCTTTGGCTTCCGTGACCACGGGTTGCTGTTCCAAGAAGAAGGACTGCTAAGCAGCGATGGGATCCACCTTTCGAGGTGAGTATTTGGGGACAGACTGGCTAATTTAGTGAGGGAGGCTTTACACTAGGTTTGGCGGGGTCAGGTGACCAAAGCCCACAGGTAAGTGAAAAACGGGGAGACCGGGGAGATGGATCAGAAATTGTGGGGGATCATGGGCTATAATAGCAGGGATAAAGGAGAGACAAGGCCGAATCAAGTCAATATCTTAGTGTTCTGTCTACAAATGCAAGAAGTACAGGGAATAAGCCAGAAGAACTTGAAGTGCTGGTAAATAAACACAATTACGGCATAGTAGGTATTATAGAGACCTGGTAGGATAATACACACGATTGGAATATTGGTATAGAAGGGTACAGCTTGCTCAGGAAGGCTAGGCGGGGAAAACAGGGAGGAGGTGTTGTCTTATATATTACAAATGTACACACTTGGACTGAGATAGAGATGGATGTGGGAGACGGACGTATTGAGAGTCTCTGGGTTAGGTTAAAAGGGGTGAAAAACAAGGTGATATCATGCTGGGGTCTACTACAGGCCACCTACACAGGCAGAAAAGGTGGCTGAAGCTTTTTTTAAACAACTCACAAAACCATCCAAAGCATAAGATTTGGTGGTGATGGGGGATTTCAATTATCCAGCCATATGTTGGGAAACTGACACAGCAGGGCACAGACTATCCAATACATTCTTGGACTGCATTGGAGACAATTTTTTATTTCAGAAGGTTGAGAAAGCCACTAGGGGAGAAGCTGTTCTGGATTTGATTTTAACAAATAGGGAGGAACTTGAAAGTGGAAGGCAGCTTGGGTGAAAGTGACCATGAAATCACAGAGTTCATCACTCCAAGGAATGGTAGAAGGGAGAACAGCAAAATAGAGACAATAGATTTCAGGAAGGCAGATTTTAGTAAACTCAGAGAGCTGGTAGGTAAGGTCCCATGGGAAGCAAGGCTAGGAGGCAAAACAATTGAAGTTAGATGGCAGGTTTTTATAGGGACATTATTAAGGGAGCAAGAGCAAACTATCCCGCTGCATAGGAAAGACAGAAAGTAGAGCAAGAGACCACCCTGGCTTTCAAGGAGATCTTGAAATATCTAAAAGTCAAAAAGGAGTCATATAAAAAGTGGGAACAAGGACAAAATACAAAGGAAGAATATGAACAACACAAATATGCAGGGGCAAGATTAAAAAGGTGAAGACACAAAACGAGCTCAATCTAGCTAGAAACATAAAGGGAAACAAGACGACATTCTACAAATACATTAGAAGCAAGAGGAAGGCCAAGGACAGGGTGTGACGGCACGTTGGGGGTCCCCCGTCTCCTGCACCCCGAAATGGCACAAACAGACTGCACCAGCCGGTGGAATAGAGGAAGTTTATTGCCTCTCCAGGATACAGCACAGCACAGATGGAATCTGGTCACAGAGCTGGGCTAGGATGCCTCAGGCCCCCTTGAGATGGGGGAGACTGGGCCCCTAAACTCCAGCCCCTCTCCCTAGACTGTCTCCTCCATGCTCCCAGACAGACAGCCACTAACTAACTCTCTTCCAGACCTGCCCCCCAGCCAGGGCAGCATCCCCCTTCCTTTGTTCCTCTCCATAGGGGGTGTCTGGCCATACTGGTTTGCATAGTGACTCATCCTGTTTTGCTGGGTCGTGGTACCCACGGCAGCCAGTGGGGGTTATCCCAGAGCCAGCAGCATAGAAACCAGCCAGGTACCCCCACTACGTCACACAGGGTAGGCCCATTGCTCAGTGAAGAGGGAGATACAGTAACAGGAAACTTGGAAATGGCAGAGGTGCGTAACAACTTCTTTGTTTCAGTTTTCATTAAGAAGGTTGGTGGTGATGGGATACCTAACATGGTAAATGTCATGTCCCTCTCAGTCTTCTCCTTTCCAAACTAAACAAGCCCAATTCTTTCAGTCTTCCTTCATAGCTCATGTTCTTTAGCTCTTTAATCATTCTTGTTGCTCTTCTCTGGACCTCCAATTTCTCCACATCTTTCCTGAAATGTGGTGCCCATTGCTCAGTGAGGAGAGAGAAACAGTAACAGGAAACTTGGAAATGGCAGAGGTGCTTAATGACGTCTTTGTTTCGGTATTCACCAAGAAGTCTGATGATGAAGGAATGTCTAACATAGTGAATACTAGGGGAATGGGGTAGATTTAGAAGATTAAAAAAAAACAAGTTAAAAATCACTTAGAAAAGTGAGATGTCTTCAAGTCACCAGGGCCTGATGAAATGCATCCTAGAATATTCAGGGAGCTGATGGAGGTATCTGAGCCTTTAGTCATCATCTTTGAAAAATCATGGAAGTCGGGAGAGATTCCAGAAGATTGGAAAAGGGCAAATCTAGTATTCATCTATAAAAAGGGAAATAAGAACAGACCAGTCAGTTTAACGTCTGTGTCAGGAAATATAACGGAGCAAATAATTAAGCAATCCATCTGCAAACATCTGGAAGATAAGAAGGTGATAGGGAACAGCCAACGTGGATTTGTTAAGAACGAATCACGTCAAACCAACCCGAGAGCTTTCTTTGATAATATAACAAGCCTCGCGGACAAGGGGGAAGCTGTACACATGGTCTACCTAGGCTTCGGCTGGGACAAAGGCACAGATCAGAGGGAGCTAGCCATCTAAATACCCTCGTGAATCTGGGCCTTAAAGCCCTCTGCATTTCACTCTTGGCTAGCAAAGGTGTCTGACTAGCTTCTGCGCAGCCTTTTTTTGGTGTCTATCTTGCCCTGTGCATCGTGGAGGGAGCCAGGGTGTCTGACTCAGGGTTGGGCATTCCACCATTTGGCAAAGAGGCTAAGGGCTTTTCTCCATCAGCTGGGGTGGAAATTCTAGTGTGCGCCATCGTGGTACGCACTAAAAGTTCCCTAGTACACACTGATTTCATCTCGGTACTATGCTAACATCCACTAAGGAACTATTAGTGAGCACCATCAGGATCCATAGGGGACAGTTAGTGCGCACACGCTGGTGCACCCTGGAATTTACACCCCAGCCAGTGCAAGCTAACACACCCCGCAGACACACCCCGAGTCCCCTCTGTGAATCTACCCCCCGAGTTTGGTTGCTGGCAGCAGTAGCAGACTCATTAAAACCACCACTAGGTGGCGACAGAGACCCTTCCATTCTTAGGGCACGTCTACACGGCAGGGCTAAATCCAAAATAAGCGACGCGACTTGAGCTACGTCAATTGCGTAGCTGAAGTCGAAATAGCTTATTTCGGCTTTTGGCGCTGACTACACAGCAGGAAGTCCCAGAAAGAGCACTCTTCCTCCGACTTCCCTTAATCCTTGTAAAATGAGGGTTACAGGAGTCAGGATAAGAACTCCTCCAGCTCGACATTATTTTGACGTTATATCAAATTAACTGCTTGTGTGTAGATGTGAACTGTGGAAGAAAACATCGTCCTCACTCTGAGTTTGTAAGCAACAAGTAGCCAGAGGCAGTTTTATTACGAGCTGCAGCAAGGGAAAAACTGGTTCGGACGGAGGGGCGGGGGATAACGTTAGTTATTCCGAAATAATGCTGCTGTGTAGACGTACCCTTAGAGTGCGTTAGCTCGCACTTCCCTGGTAACAAGTGCTGGCTGAAATTTTTGAGACAAAATATTTTCCCATCAAAAATGGGCTATTTTTAAAATAGAAAATTTTCACCCAAAATATGTCTGTTTTCTGTATGTTTCACAATCTCTTTATATGGACAAACTTTATACTTTATACCATATAAATAAGTGAGGAAACTAATAATTTACTTTAAAATTATATATGTTTGTAGTTTCTCATTTATTTTCTTCTTCTCTTTCTTTGCTTTCCTTTTTTTCCTAGTCTTTTGGAGCTGGGGGAGAGAGGGACGTGAAAGGAGAAAATAAAAGGGGGAAGGGAATTAAGGAACAGGAAGGGAAGGAGAAAGGAAGGAAAGTTTGAAAAAGAAATGAGTAAAAAGCAGGTTCGTTTAGAACTTTGCAAAATGAAAGCAGCATCAACTTTTTTTTTTTTTGCAATACCATTTCCTCATTTCTCTACCAGTTTTAGTTAAACAAAAAGTTAAACGGAAGATTTTTTTTCAAGAGCATCCATTTAACTGGAAATAAAAAGTAGGAAGGATTAAGATTTAAACATGGGTGCTTGATCGTAAGTTCTGGCATTCATCATTAGCAACGTAAAGAGAGGGGGTGATTTTCAACGGTATAATGCACAAAAAAGCTCTATATCTCACTAAAATCAAGTTGAATAGCGATAGAAATGTAGGGGTGTGTCTAGACTACATGCCTCCTTCGACGGAGGCATGTAGATTAGCCAGATCGGCAGAGGGAAATGAAGCCGCGATTAAAATAATCGCGGCT